TGATTTTCTCCTTTTCGCGTCAGGACAATTGACTACTCAGCGGTACATAACATTAATTGGCGACGAGTATGTAACAAGTACTCATATGGTGTTAAATAAAACTACTTCACTATTAAGAAGCTGCAGACCTTAATCGTTTACATTTTAACCAGTATCCATGTCTTTATCTCCTTACACTTCCGTCCATTGTGCAAATAATTCAAAGACTCTTGTTGAACCAGAAAAGTAATTTATCAGCACTTCTAGGAATTACCTCTAGAGTTGTGACTCTTCATGCACGATATGTAGATAAACTAATTCGTGAATGGATTTCTCGTTGAACAATATTTTCTACAAGTTTCAAGAATGTGTACTTCCTCATTTATGGCGTGGAATGCAGACGAAAGGATGTGTGCCTAGGGACAAGTCATTTCAACTGCACCTCTCACTGACTTTGAACAATCCACAACAAAAATTTCTCATAATACATTTAAACTGATCAATGATAAAGGTCATATCTTTACGTTTTTCCCATCTACTCAATGCAAACATTACAGATCGTTCATCTGCGAGACTGTATGTAATAAATGAAGCGGAGAACAACCACATCCCGGAATCAATGCTTTAGGTTGTATCGGCAAATAATTTCCTAAAATGATTAGCTCACAGAATTCATCACTCATCAATAGATGCTAACCTTCACTGTTTAAGCTGACTCGTCTAGTTGAAGGCTTGAGGTCATTCACCCGCTCCATTCTGGTACGTCATTATGTTGCCTTCATCTGTTATTGCGCTATCCACACACCAAGATTTTTCGTATTTCGGACGATGAATTTGGTGTTTTAATTTGCCACTGGTCTACGCAGATAAATACTTTAGGAGTTGTGAGTATGCCAACTTGCGTTAGTATACTCCATACTTTCCATAAACTTCAACACTCCCTCATCTCCTCAAAGGTTAATTCGCTCGGTGAAATTGAAACCAAGAATCTATATAACTTCCAAATATATACGTTCATAGAAACATAAATCTGTTGTAAACAAGCTGAATACAAACACGTATTCGAATACGTTTTCTATCACGTATACGTGATAGAAAACGTGTAAATTGAGGTATAATACGTGTCATACCATTAATGTACATTAATTGTGCAACGAACCTTTTAATACGACCTAAACTGTAGATAAGAATCACATGTTGATACATCCCTTAACCGCATAGCTCGCATTCACCATTTTAAAGTTGATGAAGACTTCCACCACTTTGTTTCAGGCTTGAAAATATCTCTGTTTTGTGATACAGTCGAAATTCTTAATAAAGTCAACTTTTGTATTGATCCTTTTGATTGAAGATCTAGTGGATGCGAGACTGACATCCACAGTGGCATGAATAACAACAATGAAAATATTGTTTTCTAAAGTTTTTAAATAATAGCTGTACAGTGTATTCTTCTGAACTCGCAGTCATTCTGGCAACCAAGAAACCAACTGCAAATCTGTCTGTTTTCAACATAGAACTTTGCACCGACGTGCAGCATTTGAAGTCGCCACACTCCATGTAGCACACAGAGCAAGAGAAGAAATGCAAAATAGAGACAGTAGACAGGAATATGAGACAAAAGGAATAGTAATAACAAAGAACAATATAGTTTCATTGGAGATTACAAGTCACAAGGAGAGGATGCATCTGCACCCGCCATTGGGAACGGTTTTGAGCCATAAAACCAATTGTCTCCAGCCACAAATGGTGCTTACCGTCCCCAGGAAGTCTACACCTTCCTACGGGACTTAAACTAACTGTTGGGGATTTAATTGACTGATGAAGCCATGTCTTAGTTTGACCACCACTAGCTAGCTCTTTTCCAGCCTCACCCTATGTCAGCTAACACTGCTAGTCGGGGAAGGCGATGACTACGCATACGTAACACATGTCCTAACCATCTCAGTTGATGTAACTTCACAATCTCGTCGATTGATTTCCCTTCCTTACCTAGCACTCGACCAGTGCCTAACCTCAATATTGCTAACCCTATTATACCATTTCACACGGGCGGTAGAACGCAGAAACCTATGATCAAAGGCAGCTAGCCAGCCAGACTTTTCATGTCCTCCACTCTCAATAGCCAGGTCTCAAATGTGGCGATAAACAAGAACGGAGCATGATTGTAAAATAACTTGATGAGCTCAGCTTAGTGAAACATTTTTCGTCACCAACCAACAACAGCGAGCTAATTATAAAAAACAACCGAGGAAACACTGGACAAATAATTCGCCCTAGTTCGGAATCCTTCAGCAGTACACACCTTGGGTCGAAAATACGACTTTATGGGTTACGAGGCCAGCATGACTGACTATTCAGTATCTTGGTTAGAATTCAATGTCCCGTGAATTGTAACGATATTACATTGCTTCCAAACAATGCTATCATTTATAGACACCCACTTCACTCTGAGGCAACGCATCTCAACGGCCAGGACTTATCATTAGAACTTCAAGATATCCGTTAAGTCACTAACTAATAGTCTGGCGACTAATATTTACATTTTGTATTTTTTTATAGATTGTTAATTCATTTCAATGTAGACTTTGTCAAGAACCAACATTAATTAGAGAATGGTTGAAAACCAAACAGTACACTGGACAGCATTGCAATCTACGCCCTCACGATCAATCGAAGAGAAATTATAATTTATGGCTCACTGAATTCCGATCCAGTGGCTGTATGGTCTCTGGGTCTTGGATGCATACTGCTGAGGACAAAACAGCTGTTCTGTAATCCTTAGCTCCCAATGATTCGCTAACATATGGGTTCCCCATTAGATCCAATCCTAGCTGAATTTTTCCTCGCTAGGCTAGAGAATTGACCACTGAAAGGAGTGATTAGTGATTTGGATTACTACTCTCGATATATGGATGACACATTTCTGGTTATGAAAAACGAGAATGATGCAATGAACACCCCTGACAAAATTATTGATGCCCAATCAGAAATACACTTTACCATAGGGAAAGAAAGTAATGACAGTATCTCATTCCTAGACGTCTTCATAGCAAGAAAAGAAGATGGCACACTAAGAAGGAGTGTGTACAGGAAACCGACTACAACAGGTCAGTACACTCAATTTTTGAGTTTTGTACCTTTGAAATATAAACGTAACCTAGTAAAGTGTCTGGTTCATAGAGTTAGGTTTATCTGTTCAGACGACTACTTTAACGAGATTAGGATTATTAGAGAATTACTTAGAAAAAATGGTTATCCAATAAGTTCATTGAGAAAAATATGAATTCATCACCTAGGACAGTCAGTATGGCAACAGTTCCGAAAAAACCACGGTTCAAAAAACTGCAGTTCCTCGGTGACAACATCAGCGAAATAATAACACAACGACTGAAGAATGCAGTTAAAAGAGATTTCAATGCAACAGAGGTACTGTCTCTTCTCTATCACCCTTACTCTACTTCCGATAAATAAGGATAAACTACCTAAATTTACCTCTTCTATGTGTATCTACCAGTTTGACTGCAGCTGCGGAGCCAGCTACATCGGGCGTACAATTAAGCAGGTTCATCATCGTACTTCCGAGCATCATACAGCATGGTTAAGCAAGGGAAAAACAAGATTTATTCGTAGGTCTATTTTAGCCCACCTTGTAGATAGTGAGCAGAAGGTTGACGTTAACAGTGCATTTAAAATTATTTATCGCATTCCTACTAATCTTAATTTTGCTTTAAGAGTTCGTCTTCTACATACAGCTGAAGCAATAGGAATCCACCTGAAGAAGCCAGACTTGTATTCAGAAGAAATTTGTACAGCCACTTTCCTTTCCTTGGCCATCGTTACATGATTGTATAAACCAGACTACTTCGCCCCCTCCTAAACTTTTGAAAATTATAATTGTCCAAATTATTTTATTTTTCTGACTACTTCATCTTTAATTACGTGTTATCCTTGTAAAACTATCTTATTCTTATGACCACTTCAACCTTAGTTACAAATTATCATTGTCCAAATTGTTTTATTTTCTTTAACAATCTGTTACGTAATCAACCTGTGCACACGCTTATTCCTTAATTGCTCTTCATTTTTCCTAAATTATGCATTACGCAATCCACGTGTTGTAACCATTTCCACCTTTTAATTATACATATTGATTTTCTTCGTTAATTATCACTCCCATTGACATTTTGACACTGACTAATTATTGTTAACAAACATATCGCCACTTGATCGGTAAATTGTTGTGTATTGTAATTAAAATGCTATATATATATATATTATAGTAGAGCCAGAGATGAGGATCTAATTGAAAAGTAAATATTTCTTCGCTCAATCTTTCTGTTTTCTAAATGTCTAAATGAGAATTTTTGTCTATATCGCTAACGTATGTTGGTTTGCGATGAAATCTACATTTGTATTGATGTTGCATTAATATTACACTAGTGTTTGACAGCATTATTCACCCGTCTTTTCAGAAATTTAAAACAATTAGTCCCTTTTATAAATTTTGATAGCGTTATTAGAAGACGGAGACTGTCTGAAAAATGTGATGTATTAGCGCTATACATTTCGAACAATCTGATCACACATTTACTTGTCAAGTCAATATATATAGAAAGGTTAAATTAAACAAAGTGAGAGAAAACGGAATTAAGAATAATTACCAAATGTTTGTGTTAATTATTCTTAATTCCGTTTTCTCTCACTTTGTTTAATTTAACCTTTCTATATATATTGACTTGACAAGTAAATGTGTGATCAGATTGTTCGAAATGTATAGCGCTAATACATCACATTTTTCAGACAGTCTCCGTCTTCTAATAACGCTATCAAAATTCACCTGTCTAATTGAAAACATCATCCACTCTCCCCTTTTCACCTTCAAACAAAAAAAACTACAAACTAATTATCAGAGTTTACTTTATTTGCAATAAAAAAGGGCTGATTACAAAGAAGATAAAGCTATTTACAGTAGTATTTTACGGCGGATAGAATTCAATGATATAACTGCCATGGCCATCATTTCAGTCAACATCTTCAAGATGAAGTGATTCATTGTCTGAATCTGAACTTTCTGCATCTGATGATGTGGAGGACGAGGAGGAGGAAGAGGACGACGACGAATCCTCTACTTCTTTTATTAACATTACTGATGGATCACGATAACTGATTAAAAATTCGAAGGACAAAAAGAAAAGATATTCGTATAGAATAAAAGTATGTGTATGTATGTGAATGACGTTTGATCAACACCAAAAAAGAACAGTTGCTTATGACTTTACAAAACTGTTGTTGATTACTAACTGACTAGCTGAGTTTCAATACAGAACTTTGTGCAAAAAAGTGTGACACATACGAAGTAGAGTAAAGAAAAAAATTCTTAAAGGAACTATAATAAGTACAAACGTACAACAGAAAGAATAACCACATTGGGAAACATGAGGATAAAGAGTGAATCCATTTGCACCATTGAGAACGGCCTAGAGCCATTTTGTCATCAATAGTCTCTTCTAGCAATTGGTTCTTAGAATCCTAAGGACACTAACCAGGTAGTCTATACCGCTCTACATGGTTGGTTCAAACAGACCGTCAAAGACTTCATGAATATTGATTCCAGAATTTGGTTTGACCCTTCCCCGTCCTCTAACTCTTCTCCAACCTAATTCCATGTCAGGCGATGGGCTAGATAACATGCTCAACACGCATCCAAGTCATCTCAAACGATTCATCTTCACAACTTACCTGATCGATTGACATTTCCTCCTTAACTGATGCGTCGATGGCATAGCGGTTAGGACGCTCGCCGACCATGCACATGGTCCGGAGTTCGATCCCCGGCCACAGGCGCACTCCTTTACCTCACCTATCCAGTAATAAGACTGGTAGAGAGGAAAGGTTGGACATGAGGCTAGCAACCCCATCCTGTAAAATAAACACTGCTACAGAAACTTCAGGCCACTAGTTTGAAGCCCTATGTTCCACTGGGGAACGTGACGGAAAAAAACAAAACCTTAACTATAACTCTAACGCCCACACTCAATGTTATTGACTTTTTTTGATGGTTTTTTTTTGAAAAAAAAAAACCATCGTTTCAACTACAGGCATCCAGAACGGATGAAGATGTCAGAGCAGGCTAGAATCGGAAAAGCAAGATACGCACACCTTCATCAACCTGATACCAGTTTGGAAATATTACCGGCTCAGCATAGAGAACAAGATTCGTATTTTCAACACAAATGTCAAGTCGGTCAGTCACTTCTTCTATATGGGTCAGAAACTTGACCAGCAAGCATTTCCAACAGGCTACTGCAGAATTTTATGAACAGATGCCACCTTCGTTGGATCCATACTGAAGATCAAATGGCCAGAAAGAATCACCAACAAGAAACTCTGGCTGACTGGGTACAAACCAACAGGCAAGAGCCGATCGCTCAACAAATATGTAGGGGAAAATGGAGATGGATTGATCGGGTATATGTTGAGGTGGCCGTCGAATGAAATCGCGTCCCAAACCAATGCTCGAGTCGAATCTAAATGGGAAGCGACAAGTGGGTCGTCAGTTCGAGGGTGACATGGAGGAGATCGTGTAGGGAGATGAGAGATTATGAGCAGTCGTGGACCCAGCTGAAGAGGATGGCATAAAATAAAAGAAAGTGGAGATGTGTTTTCGAAGCCCTATGTTCCACTGGGAACCCAAGAGAATAATAATAATAATAATATAAAGCAAAACGCGAATACTTCAAATACTTTCACCATACTACGTTATTGAAAATACAGTTTATTTTATATGTGAATAAAAATATATTAAAAATCCGTTATTTTCCAATTATAAATAAAATTACACTACAATCTCAACTTAGATCACAGACTGATATCAGTTAGGGAAGCGTTGCGAACCACCGATTACTGAACAGCCGTTTCCTCCTAGTTGTTTAGGCCTCTTCATCAGTACATACCTATGACTCCAATGGGGATCGAACCCAGGACCTTCAGGTTAGCAGGCAAGTTCGTTGACCGTTTTCAACCACTGAGACGAAATCTATTGACACCATCAATTCCAACTTCTGTCAATTCCCGACATAAATTGCTTCAGCTAAGCTAGCCAGTAAGTATCATCGGAGAGTATATATCATCACACTCGACCTGGTGTACACACCACTGGTCACGAAATCCCTGATTGGAACTTCATACAACTTCATCCTCAGTAATAGACTAATTTTAAGGTGTTCATCTGCGACCAGTTGCGTGCTTTCACGTTGGATCACGAAATGATATAAGTTACAGAAACATTGAAAACCAGGCAGTATTAGACATCTGTTTTGTCCTACTTTAGAACTCTTTATCAGTAACCCCACTGCAACTGTCGGCATACTGCTTAAAAAAACAACCATTCCTAAGGCAAACAGATAGAAAATATGCTGTAAATTAAGACGTTACTGAAAACTCCTCCACTTACAATCTTTTGATGTAACTAACTGGACAAATTGTTATGATGAATAAATCATTATGAAAGGCATTCACCAACATTATGAATTGAATTAGAAAAATAAATACAAAATCCAGCAACGTATATTTTGAAATAATAGGAGAAGATTTGTGAGTCAAGTGTAATAATTTTCAGTGTTTAAGTCAGCGCTGAAAATGTTGTCCAGAGGGATAATGAATGTTTCGCAATTAAACCACCCAGCTCAGAGGAGACGCGACAACATTAAATAACAGCAAATGTAAGCAGAAGTGAATGCAAATGGATTGGATTTAGTCCGAGAAGACTGTAAAGTGATGTCACATGCCAGGTAGACTCTTGAGTGGAACCCCACACGGGAAACGACAAGTTGAACATTTCTCCGAAGGTAACACGGAAGGGAGTGTGTGAGAAGGGAGTGGATAGTCGTGAAGCCAGCTAAAAAGGACTGGAGAGACCAGGATGAAATGGAAACGTACTGTCAAAGCCCTATACGCTATCCATAATCCAAGGAAACAATGCTAATAATATTTAATTGGTAGATGGTGACTAGCAGTGAAATTTAGGATGCCATTTCGTCCTATTCGGGACTCGTCAGCTGGATGTACCTGCATTTCTCAGTGAGTGATGATGTTCCCACCGAGGCTCGAACCCAGTAGCCATAGTTTCAAACGCCAAAGCGTTATCCACCAGACCGTTTAGGCCACGAGAGCCACCTCTTGTGCAACAGACCTCGGTGGGAACATCATCACTCACTGGGAAGTGCAGGTACATCCAGATGACGAGTCCCAAATAGGACGAAATGAACGTCCTGGACTCCACCGCTAGTCACCATCCACCAATTAAATACGAACTAAATGCCCAGAAATTGTCGAAGCTTCTGCACAAGAAGCCGACATGTCAACCTGAGACCAAGCACTTCGGTTCAATCAATAGACGGGAAAATCTCAAATTCAATAAAATGCCAATAATAATGATTAATGTAAAAGCCAATATTAGTGACAGTGTACTGACTCACCGGTTCAATTTGGTTGGTTCTGGTGGCATGGTAGGTAAGGATGGTAATTTGTATTTGATTCGAGAATTCTAAATGAAAAATGAAAAACAAAAAAAGAAATGAATCCGAAAGAAATCACACCACAGTTTCAGAATGATTATGATAAGTCCAGTGATGAACAAGTCTCTTAACTTAGCTAACATTGTTGAAACTTTTGCTCAAACTAAACATTGCCTTAAGAATTGCTAGAACTCAGTTACTCTGGAAATGTTAGTGAGCATACTACGTTGGGAACGTCAGCTTTTATCCGATCACCGAAGTTAAGCAGTGTTAGGAGCGGTTAGTAATTGTATTCATGACCAGCTGGGAATACTTCATGTTTATTGGCTTTCAGTGTGTCAGTTCAAAACTCACCTCACAAACATTAGTCCATATGGTTATCAAGAAGACAATGCAAAGTCAGTTACTAGCTCAATTCTCGAGCACTTAGTGAACTCACTCCAACAGCTATACATTTCTGTCTGTCTGTCTGTTTTCGAAATAGAACTCTGCACAAATGTGCGGAAGTTCAAGTCACCACACTTCGTGTAGCACGCGAAGCAAGAGAAGAAAGTACAAAAAAAGCATAATAGAGACAGTGAGCAGAGGTGTGAGACAAAGGAGTAATAACGAAGAACAAAAAAGTTTCATTGGAAATCATAAATCACAAGGAGTGGATGCATCTCCGCCACTGAGAACGATTTTGAGCCATGTCACCAATTGTTTCCAACCATAGATTTTTACCGTCCCGAGGACCCCAGCCTGGAAGTCTACACCTTCCTACACTTCAGTAAATATAAATACGATAATAGCACAGTCCTTGAAGATGAATACGTTGATAAAGTAAATTTCCCTTACAGAACTTCATCATGAGCTAACATTGGTTAGAGAACCATTGGAAAACTTGGGAGTACTGGACAGCCAGCTGTTTCGTCCCAATTTGGGACTCTTCAGCAGTACGCACCCGCCACTAGGGTTCGAACCTAGGACCTTCCGGTTACAAGGCCAGTGAGCTTGTAGCCCATTGAGCTACTAGGACCCGATTCAGTGGCAAGCGCATGAATTCTAACTTCTGCCAATTCACGACATGTCCAGTACTCCCAGGTTTTCCAATGGTTCTCTAATTAATGCCAGCTCACGATGAGACCCTGTAACCAATCAACCAAATCCCTACCTACAAAATCTCCTCGACAAGAGTCATGAGGTGGAAATCGAGAAATCCTTCAAAATTATCAATAGACAAAGGAGCTCCATTCTCCTCAAGTTTGCCGAAGCAATCTCTATCAAACGCTTGAAACCAGATCTATGTGATCAGAAAGAATCAGTTATCAGTCTTTCCTTGCCTTGATAACTGGATGCCTTTATTCTCTCATTTGATTACGTAATCCTTGTCTTTAACCTCACCCTCCCTTTTATAATCTGTAATTTTGCTTGTCTCTTGTTTCTATGATTTGAGTTCAACTCAGTACATTGTTACCTAACTTATTAGTCACTATGCATCTAACGCACATCTCACCTTTATTATGTAACTCCTTTACCATTGTCCGTCTGTCTGTCTGGATTCAACATAGAACTTGGCACCGAAGTGCAGCAGTTCGAGTTGCCACGTTCCAAATAGCACACAGAGGTAGACAAGAAGATGAGTGAAGAGAATCAATAGAGTTTGACAAGTATAAGAGTGAAACAGAATGGGTAATGGTAGAAAGGAATATGAAAGATTACAGAGACTGAATACATCTGCGCTGGCCATTGACAACGATTTTGAGCCATGTCACCTATTGTCTCCAGCCATTGATTCCTAGAGTCCCGAGGGCCCCAACCCGGAAGTCTGCATCTCCCTACCTGACTCAGTTTAACTGTCAAGGATTTCATGGATTGATGAGGCCATGTTTTTGTTTGGCCACCACTGGCTCTTTTCCAACCTGAACCTATATCAGCTAGCAATGCCCGTCGGGGGAGGCGGTGGTTAGGCATGCGCAGCACGTGACCTAGCCATCTTAGTCTATGTAACTTTATAGCCTCGTCGATTGATTTTCCCTCTTTGCCCAACACTCTACGCCTAACGTCAACATTACTTACCTTGTGAAACCACCTAACGTGAGACAGAGATCGCAGACATCTATGATCGAAAGCAGTCAACCTTTTCATGTCTTCAACGCGTATTGGCCATGTTTCAGAGCCATAGAGAAGGACGGAGCGAACTGATGAGCAGTACACACGTCCCTTGGTTGATAACCGGATGTCACGCCTACGCCAGAGATGGTGTAAGTCAGCGAAAGCAGCTCGAGCTTTTCGGATCCGTGCTGAGATTTCATCGCCAATCAGTCCGTTGGTGCTAATACAACTTCCCAAGTAGGTGAAGTGGTCAACATGTTCTATCACTTCACTCCCTATCACTAAGTTAGGAGTTGACGTGGTCCAGTCCTGTAGCAGCATCTTACATTTTGCAGGGGCGAATCGCATGCCAAACATACGAAGATTGCTGCTCAAGGTGTTCAGAAGACTCTGCATTTTGTCAGCATCCTCCCCTAACAGGACTATGTCATCTGCATATTCTAAGTCCATTAGATTATTCCCTGGTAACAAGTCGATTCCTAAGTCATTACGTTCAGTTAAGGATACTTCCATTAGCATATCTATGATGAAGTTAAACAGAAATGGGGAAAGTGGACATCCCTGTCGGACACCACTGGTTGTTACCAATTCAGATGACAATTCCCCATAAGCCCTTACACGACTACGTGAGTTTGAATAGAGTGCCTTGATTAGTGCAATGTACTTTCTTGGCACTCCCTTCACAGTCAGACATTGCCATAGTACCTTTCGATCCACGGAGTCGAAGGCCGCCTTCAAGTCAAGAAATATGACAATTGTTGGACGCCGAAAAGTGTGTCTATGTTCTAGAATCTGTCGAAGAGTGAAGATATGATCTATGCACCCTCTACCTGGTCTAAAGCCTGCTTGATTTTCCCTTGTCTGTTCCTCCCGAGTTCTGCTTAGTCTATGCATGATTACTGAGCCTAGGATTTTAGAGACTATGTTCGTTAGGCTGATCCCCCTATGATTATCACACGAGGACTTGTTTCCCTTCTTGAATATCGGTATAATAAGTGACTTACCCCAGTCTGATGGAACATTTTGTTTAAACTTGAACTGCCTGTGTAAAACCTATATAAGCGCAATTTTCTGAGCACTGCTAATTGTGGAACTTTCTGTCAACTGATAACATGTAAAATTTGAAAGTATGTTAAAACTTTTCTGTACTTAAACCTCATAATTTATTTAGGCTGTAAGCAGCTGATGAGAAACCAGCGAAATAAATGACGGTACCATATTATTCTGAACAAACAACTGTTGTTCTTGCTTTATTCAAATACAAACCAATACTTGAATATCAATGAGATGCTCACTGGCGATTGGCCCTATTCATCGTCATTGATATCTCAGATAGGTAGTTAACCGGGGTCCTGGTGGGAAGTCGTGACCAGTAGGGTGTAGCAGGTCGGGTGTGCGGACAAATACTCGCCGGAGACATTGGCTGGCGGTTGCGCTATATCATGAATTCGCAGTAGTTAGAATTTATGAGATGGCCAATGGATCGGGTCGTAGTAGCTAAATGATCTACAAGCTCACTGGCCTTGTAACCTGAAGGTCCTGGGTTCGAACCCTAGTGGTGGGTGCGTACTGCCGAAGAGTCCCAAATTGGGACGAAACAGCTGGCTGTCCAGTACTCCCAGGTTTTTCGGTGGTTCTTTAACTGATATCAGCTCATGATAAAATCCTCCATGAAACCAAACAAAAATGCCTGCAAACCAATACTTAAATTTCTTTTGTTGAATAATGATTCACATTTATTGAATGCATATAAGTTTGAAATAACATAAAGTTTGCTATTGTGTAGTATGAACCTCAATATCAGCGAAAATGAGAATGGGGTTGATTTGCACTATAGTGTCTCCAACGTTCTATCAGTTTAAACAACAAATTGATAACAGAGTAAACTCGAATTTCGCCTTAACTTATATCGATATAATCAGTCTGTCAAAAGAACATACATATTTCGTAGCTTAGTAGACCGATTGACAAGCGTATGTAGTATACTGGAAACAACTAATTATGTACCAGATTCTATGAACAAAAGAAAGTACCTACAACCAACAAACTGGTTGAAGAGGCTGGCGGGCAGTGAAGACAGGACTCCAGGTGAACATAGAGAAGAGGGAGGTGATGAAGATAACCAACGAACAGTAATAGCAACAACAACCACAACAACCAACGCCAGTCACCATCAACAGGAGAGATTTAACAGACGGTACCTCCTTCACTTATCTAGGAGCCATCGTTTCAATCACTGGCAGTCAGAACGAATCAATATGTCAAAGCAGGCCAGAATCGGAAAAGCAAGATATGCACGCCTTCATCAACCGGATACCAGTTTGGAAATCTTACTCACTCAGCATAAGGAACAAGATTCAGATTTTAAACACAAATGTCAAGTCGGTCAGTCACTTCTTCTATACGGGTCAGAAACTTGCTCAACGTGTCACGAAAAGCATTTCCAATACGTTGTAGACTTTCATCACACATCTGCCTTTGCCGGCGGTCTCCATACTGAAGATCAGATGGCCAGAAAGAATCAGAAACAAGAAACTCAGGATGACTGGGAACAAGACAACAGGTGAGAGCTGATCACTCAACAAATATGTGGGAGAAAATGAAGACAGATTGGTCAGGCATATGTTGAGGAGGCCGTCGAATGAAACCAAGTACCAGGCCAACGCTCGAGTGCAATCCAAACGGGAAGCGACGAGTGGGTCGTCAGTGCGATGGTGACGCGGAGGAGATCATGTGAGTTGGCGGAAGAGATCAGATATTATGAGCGAATCGTGGGGTCAGCTAAAGAAGACGGCAGAAAATAGAGGAAATTGAAGATGTGTTTTTGAAGGCCTATGTTCCACTCGGAACCCAAAGGAATTATTATTATTATTACTTATTGAGGTTATATTGAGTTTCCCATGGATCGACGGATTATATTGCACTGATATGTTCTGTGATAAGATATCATTGAAAGGCTTGTACCAAGAGCCAACATGTTAATAGAGGTCTATCATTTCGATCCACTAGAGTCACAATCAATCAACGGGAAATTTCAAATAACCACAACATATAACATTTGATACCTGTTGTGGAAGATGTGGCTGTCATGGCCCAGTGGATAACACTGTGGGGCTTTAGGATTTCATCATGAACTGACATCGGTTAGAGGGGGATTGGGACTCTTCATCAGTACGCCCCCACGCACTCAGGACCTTCAGGTTACAAGGTGAGCTTGTAGACCATTAAGCCACTGGGACGCGATTCAATGGTCCCTGAATTCTAACTTCTGGGGTTTGAAACGATAAGTGTTTGGTTTGGTTCATCGGGAACACCATCACTCACTAGGGTTGTGGGTACATTTAGCTGATAAGTCGAAAATACGACAGAATGTGCGTCTTAGGGACATCTGGTTGGTTGATGGGAACTACAGATAGAATCCAAGATTCGTACTTCATCTTATTTGAGCCTCGTCAGTTGTGTACATGCAATCCCAATGAGTGGTAGAGTTGAAAAAGAGTTATTGGTGGTTTAAACCAAAACATGCAATCAGTCCATGAAAACTTTAACAGTTAGTTTGAGCCCTACAGGGATGTGTAAACTGTCTGGTTGTGATCCGCGGAATTCAAAGAACCAAATGGCTTCAGATAATATGGCTAGAAATCGTCCTCAATGGCTATTTGTAATTCGCTTTATTGTTTTCCCATGTCCCCATCCTTCCTCGCACACATTTCTGTTTATTATTATCGTTCTTTTGTATCTTTTTTCTCTTCCTATATTTACTAAATGGAGTGTGCCAGCATGGGCGCTATTGCACTTCTGAGCAAATTCCCATGTTGAAATCAGTCAGTCAGGCGTTTCCAATCGGACTTGAACCCTGTAACCATAGCTTTAAACCTCATGTCAACAGAGACCAGTGACAATGTAGCCCAACATAAATAAACAACGAGTAATGTAAGTTAACTGGGGAAAAAGACACAACAACAACAACAACAACAAATCTTACTTCATAGTTTAACTGAACTTTTTTCATTAAATCCATTGACTGTTGCATACTAAGTCGACAGAGTTGACGTTGACCGTGTGGATCGAATAACTGATTACCAGAAGCTGTCCATGCTTGAAGTTTTTCACTCCATACAACAGACTGTTTATTATTATTATTACTATAATTTTCTTGATTATTAGTCATATTATTACCAGTAAGATGAATTTTAATATCATCAAAATAATCTATATTTGATAATAGTAATGGATTGTATATTTTTCTACTGGGTATAGCTTCTTTGAATAATGATTTCTCTTCTTTACAATTACTTTTGTTATCTTCTAAATAACATTTTTCATGACGATCAAGGTGCCTAGAACAAAATTATTTAAAAAAAAGTCAAAGGTTAACTGTTTTGGAGCATGTAGTAGTTTACGTATAAATTCATTTGAAGGCAGATTTTTAAATGTTAGTTTGTAGAGAGATTTGATTGATTTCAAGTTTGATAACGAAATGATATCATTGAGAGAAGCATTGAAAACTAGTATTAGAGTACTGTACAGTTGTTTCGTCCTAGCTTGGGACTCGTCAGTATTACGTACCGCCCCAACAAACTAACACTTGAAGTTAATCAACCTCATGCTCATTAGTGACTGGCTATATGACGAGGCTGTCTGGAGTCTCAGTGAGAAGTTGTAACTAATGGATATGAGGACAAATACTCTCTGATGATATTGGCCGACTGTGGTGACATATATATCGAGAATCGATAAGAGCTATAGCTGACAGACCATTGGGTTCTGTTTTAATGACTAAATGATCAACGTGCTATTCTCTTAACTTCCAAGGTCCTGAGTCTGATCCTCAATGGGGTTGTAGATGCGTATTACTGAGGAGTACCAAACCAGGACGAAATAGTTATCCAGTACTCCCTGGTTTTCAAACTGATATAAATCCGTAATTAAACTTGAAACTATACTTTTTACGTGATTTTAGGTTGCCCCAGTAATGAGTAGATGGTAAAGTCAAGCAGCCCTCAGTAGAATAATGATAAAATATACCTATAACAGGAAATTTATAAAGCTGAAAGATGTTGTGAACTGACAGAAGTCATAATTTATAGGTGACTGAATTCCAACCCAACAACTGAATGTTAATGTGCTCTTTTAGTAACCTATAAGTGGTAGATTTGATCCTTGGGTAAGATTCAAGGGTATGTATGAAACCTCTGCAATTCTCCCCTGATTCTCTAATCGACTTCCGTCCCTGATTATCATGATCATTATTCCCTTGGGTGGAACGTAGAGCTTCAACAGCACACCTTCATTTCATCATGTTGTCTAAAGTCCTTTTTAGCTGGCCACACGGTTGCGCCAATAAGCTCTCTTCTTTTCATACCATGTCCCTAATGTTACTGTTGGGTGCCTAGTTTTCCGCCTGCCATTTAGATTTAACTAGACCGTCTGTCTGGTGCATTATGTCACTCAACAGTCTGCTCAGTGTGTATGTCCAATTTATCTCCGATTCCTTTTGTATACTTGTTGCTAATCCTTTCTAGTCATCTGATTTTTGTTATAAAGCGAAGGTAGCTGTTGGTAAAAGTCTGAAGCCTGTTTAAAATACTTTTAGTGACACAGTATCTACTTTTCTTCATATACTGTTGTTTTGAAATAAAACAGAAGATTTTTAGCTCAGGTGAATAATTTGCAATGAATAATGTTCTCTGAGCTGGTTGGTTTAGTTGCGGAGCTTTTGTCGTCCCCCTTCAGCGCAATATTTAGCATAAAGTGAAATGATTTAAATTTCTCATGCGAAGATTAGAATTAATAGCTCCACCTATAATTAAACCAAAAATCTGGGTAAGTTACGTTAATGATACATTTGTAATAATTAAGAGAAATGATTTGGGATATACCCACAAATTAATAAACAACATATTTGAAGACATCAAATTTACAAGAGAAGAAGAATTAGATAACAAAATCCCATTTTTAGAAATCTTAATCACAAGAACTAACACAGGAAATTGAGAAACACAAGTGTGTATAGAAAATCAACGCACACACAGATCAAATACTCAACTATACTAGCGGTGATCCAATTACTCACAAAACAAACTGTGTGCAGACATTGTTTAAAAGAATTCAAACACACTGTAGCACTCCAGAGTTGAAAAGAATGGTTATCCACAAAATTTCATCAAAAAGTGTTTCAAATCGAATTACAACACCAACTGGGAACCATCATCAAAGACCACAAAAAAATTCATCCTACCATACATGAAAAATATCTCTGAAATAACAGCTAGAATACTGAAACCGTTTGATATAGATATAGCACACAAGCCAGTCAAGTCGCTTAATTTAATATTATGCAAACCGAAAGATCCATCCAACAGAAAAAGGAGATAAAATTAACACCATTTACAAAATAAATTGTATGAACTGTAACAGGCATTACACCGGCCAAAGTGGGCGACCCTTCGAATTAGAATTCAAGAACACAAATCAGCCGTGAAAAGACACGATATATATTCTTTCATATCAATGCATATAGACAACTATGGACATCAATTTGATTGAGATAATGTCGAAATCTTAAACAGAGGAAAAACCAAAAGTGCCAGGGAATTCCTAGAAGCCTGGTCACTCAAACGAATGTGCAATCGACAAACGCGTTAATATAGACCAAATATACCAACTAATAAAACTAAATCATGTCCATAATAACTAAATCATTTGACCACAAAGTTTAAAATCCAATTCAGTAAAAAATGATCAATACATATGTAAAGGTGGTTACCGTGAGACACTATTATTTCATTCATGAAGAAATTTAAATCATTTCACTTTATGCTAAATATTGCGCTGAAGGGAGATGTTGTCCAGAAGCGGGATGATGAAAGCTCTGCAACTAAACCAACCAGCTCAGAGAACAGTATTCATTGCAAATATTGTTGTTTTACTTTTGTATGGCGCATTTCCTGGTGCCCGTAATATACGAAATAAAGCCTGGAAAGAAGACAAGGTTGGGTATAAGGCTACCAAACTCCCCACCCCACCTCACAAAAACAAGACCACCACCTCTGAGACTATAAATCTTGAATTCTTATGTCCCACTTCGAACACAATAAAATGGAAAAAGAGCAATGTATCTGATGAAGGCTAAGTGAAAAAACAAACAACCATTAAACGTAAGAAATATACAAAGTAACTTACATGTAAATATTTCTAAAATAACTGTACAATGACTGTATCACCTCTAAATCATCAGTCACAAAAGCTTTCCCGTTAAAATCATTATCAGTTGAAGTATCTTGTGAACGGTAAGCTAAGAATCCTGCAAATCCTTTCCAACCGCCTAGACCAGCTAAACGAGTTAAACGTGTCCGACCCAAACCAACAAGAGCTAATCGACGCAAAATTTCATCAGGCACTTTATTCAAGTTATTGGATATATTGTTTTCTGTAGTTGAAGTGGATTTTTTCGTCATTATACTACAAGCAGTTTTGAGCTTTCGCAAGAGATATAACTCCATAGGAGCCTGTTAAAAGTATAGAAAATAGTTATATGATAAGAAAAATGATCACAGAACACCAAGAATAAAGTAGTAGAACAACGTATACCACACTAAAGACGATGTGTGTATCAGTGGTTCACGGGTAGAATACCCATCAGCTACGAATGTGGTCCGAAATTCGATCGATCTCCAGCCGATGCACTCCTAAACTTCGCCTAACAGATAGCAATCCCTGAAGAAGGGAAAGGTTGGGCGTGAGGCTAGCAGCTCCACCCTGTAAAACCAAGAACACAAGTCCTAGTGAAACGTCAAAAGCTGAAATCCTGATGCCAAAGAATGAAACTAAAAATAAACAAATAAATAAACAAAAGAATTAGAAACTAAATTGTTTCGCATAGATAAATTTTGGAGACGTGGTTGATTGGTTTAGGCAACTAGGCTGTCAGCTAATGGGTCCCAGGTTCAAAGCCCACTTCACCTAAATCAGCCTGGCCAACTGGATAGTAACATTACCCTTTGTACAATGTTATTTGAAGAGCCGTACTAGACAGTTTTGACTGCTAGGTAGGCTGGTAAATCACAGGTAAGATGAAATATGTGACCTCAACTCCGTAATTATCCTTTGCCAAATGAAGTTATCGTCGGCGACCACGCCACGTTGAAAGCACCGGTTCTCGTCCGATCACCAAAGTTAAGCAAGATTGGGCCCGGTTAGTACTTGCAGGTTGGAAACATTTGGTGATATGGCTCAAAATCGTTGTCAATGGCGGGTGCACATGCATCCACTCCTTATGACTTATGATTTCCAATGAAACTATATTGTTCTTCGTTATTCCTATTCCTTTGTCTCACACCTCTGTTTACTGTCTCTTTTATGCATTTCTTCTAGTTTTTTTCCCTTGCTTTGTGTGCTACATGGGGTATGGCAACTTGAATTACCGCGCATCAGTGCTAAGTTTTATGTGGAAAACAGACAGACAGTAACGAGTCAACAAATCAGTAGTGCTATTGTTATATCATCACCGAAATAACACTATCAACTTTTAGTTTACACGAATCAAGAGTCAATAATTAGGCAACAAGAATACAACAAAAAGGATTTTGTATAGCTGCTTTCGCTCCATACTGAAGATCAGAGGGCGCTGCAGCAAACTAACCAACAACCTTCCGCTCCACTATTTTGTCGAAGAAAATGGAGATGGATCAGGGGGACACACTGAGGACAGACCGTCGAATGATACCATGCACCAAGCCACCGCTCGAGTGGAATCCGAATGAGAAAAACAACAAGTTGGGCATGTGTCTCAGGGGGAAATAAAGCATATAGAGTGAGGACGAGATGAAATCCTTACGGACAATTGTGTAAGCCGTGTAAGGGCTTATGGGGAATAGTCATCTGAATTGGTAACAACCAGTGGTGTCCGACAGGGATGTCCACTTTCCCCATTTCTGTTTAACTTCATCATAGATATGCTAAAGGAAGTATCCTTAACTGAACGTAACGACTTAGGAATCGACTTGTTACCAGGGAATAGTCTTATGGACTTAGAATATGCAAATGACATAGTCCTGTTAGGGGAGGATGCTGAAAAAATGCAAAGTCCTCTGAACACCTTGAGCAGCAATCTTCGTATGTTTGGCATGCGATTCGCCCCTGAAAAATGTAAGATGCTGCTACAGGACTGGACTACGTCAACTCATAGCTTAGTGATAGAACATGTTGACCACTTCACCTATTCGGGAAGGTGTATCAGCACCAACGGACTGATTGGCGACGAAATCTCAGCACAGATCCAAAAAGCTCGAGCTGCTTTCGCTGACTTACACCATCTCTGGCGTGGGCGTGACATCCGGCTATCAACCAAGGGACGTGTGTACTGCTCAGCAGTTCGCTCCGTCCTTCTCTATGGTTCTGAAACATGGCCAATACGAGATGAAGACATGAAAAGGTTGACTGCTTTCGATCATAGATGTCTGCGATCTCTGTCTCACGTTAGGTGGTTTCACAAGGTAAGTAATGTTGACGTTAGGCGTAGAGTGTTGGGCAAAGAGGGAAAATCAATCGACGAGGCTATAAAGTTACATAGACTAAGATGGCTAGGTCACGTGCTGCGCATGCCTAACCATCGCCTCCCCCGACAGGCGGGCATTACTGGCTGATATAGGTGTGCAGGTTGGAAAATAGCAAGTGGTGGTCAAACAAAAACATGGCCTCATCAATCCATGAAATCCTTGACAGTTAAACTCAGTCAGGTAGGGAGGGAGATGCAGATTTCCGGGTTGGGGCCCTCGGGACTCTAGGAATCAATGGCTGGAGACAATAGGTGACATGGCTCAAAATCGTTGTCAATGGCCAGCGCAGATGTATTCAGTCTCTGTAATCTTTCATATTCCTTTCTACCACTACCCATTCTGTTTCACTCTTATACTTGTCAAATTTTATTGATTCTCTTCACTCATCTTCTTGTCTACCTCTGTGTGCTGTTTGGAATGTGGCAACTCCAACTAGTGCACTTCGGTGCCAACTTCTATGTTGAATCCAGACAGACAAAACAAACTACGGTGAACACAGTGAAACGAAGACTTGCTGTTGAAGCCCTACGTTCCACATGAAATTCAAGGGAATAATAATATTATTATAAATAGTGAATAACAAGAATTGATAAACAACCAAATTAATCGAATCAATCCTACCTCCATCCACATCATTGTTTTAACTTTAGATAACTTTAAATATTCCATTGGATTTCTAAAATAACGTAGTTGGACATCGCCATCTGTGCTGCTAACATTATCATCACTGGTTACTTGAGTAAATAAGAATTCACATAGTTTACAACACTCATCAATAAGATGTTGACCTACATCGAAAGTCGCTTTTCCATCATTGGTAGCATTACTATTATTATTATTATTATTATTATTATTATTATTATTATTATTAGTAGTAGTAGTAGTAGTAGTTAAACATTCGTAATCATAATTTCGTTTTTTCATATCATTTATAAAATTGACAATTTTATCAGTAGTATTACTGTTATCCGAACAAGAGACAATTGACATTAAAGCGCATTGAGCATTAGTAAAGTAACAATCATATGGTTGAATTGAACGAACTATACTTGAATGACGTGTAGAACGTATCAATCGACTAAGGTATGATATATCATTTGGAGTGTTGATATTATTGTCGAATGGATAACAAGCAAGGCAACACACTTCATTATCCAATGACGATGATACTGTTCTATTTTGACTGGGTTTTGTTGTTAAAAATAACCATAAATCGTGTAATGCTTGAGTTGGCTGATAAAGTGTCATCTTCTTCATTTGTGCATTACCGATGATGGGTTTGGATTTCTACGAAGGGAAAATAAAGAATACAAGGCATTACAATAGGGACAAAAACTGTTTGATCATGTAGTGATATTAGTTAGAGAGAGATTGAAACCTAGACAGTAGTGGACGGGAGTTTCGCCCCTGTCTGAGATTCTTCAGCGGTAGGCACTTAATATCCCACAGGAGGTCTGACCCAGGAACTTAAGGTTATCAATGGGTTTTTTTTAACTGATATCGCTTCGTAAACAAACTTCAAATCAATCAAAGCCTCGCAGACAAACACTTGAAAATAAACTGTCCATTCGGTTTCGGTAAATCTACACATGTATGACTGACTGGTAAGTTGGTGGTTCAATGGTACGATGCTCGCCAGACACGTGAGAATTTGAGCTTCGTTTCACGGTTAACACACTTTTGAATCTCGCCTAGTTTACTAGCCTCCAGTAGATGCGGGAAAGAGGGAAGGTTGGATGTGAGGATAGTAACCTCACCCCGTAAAAGTAACACAATGGCTACTGAAACTTAGAAGCTTGAAGCCCAATATGTTTCACTCGAAACACAAGAAATAAAACAAAATGACTAACCGTCTGAGTTTTAACGTAGAAATTTGCAGAAGAGTTAAGCAATTCTAATTGCCACACTTCAAAGGCACACTTAAAAGTATAGAAAAAAGTGCGAGAAACTATAATGAGATCGAATGTGTGAGAGAGGGAATGATTACATGGACGCTAATAAAGTCTAATAAGTCTAGGTCTAGTGATAGCCTACGGAGAGTTGTCATCTGAAGTGGTGACAACTAGTGGTGTCCGCCAGGGATATCCACTATCCCCATTTCTATTGAATTTCATCACAGATATTTTACTCATGGACTTAACCTAAACTGATTTCAGGGACTCAGAGATTGACTTATTACCATCAGTGAATAACCTCATTGACTTAGAATATACAAATGATAGTGTCCTTCTAGGTGAAGATGCTGACAAAATGCACAGTTTTCTGAACACCTTGAGCTGCAATCTAGGAATGTTTGGCATGCGATTCGCTCCCGCCAAATGTAAGATGATGTTACATGACTGGACTACAGTGACTTCTAGCTTAAAGATAAGCAGGAGTGAAGTGGTAGATAGTGATGACCACTTCACTTATTTGAGGAGTTGCATCAGCCGGCCCCAACAGGTTGACCGCTGATTAAATCTCAGGACGGATACAGAAGGCTCGTTTCGCAAATGCTACCTTATTTCATCTCTGGCGTAGACGTCATACCCAGCTGTCAAAAAAGGATATATGTACTTCTCACTAGTTCGCTCTGTTCTCCTCTATGGCTGTCAGTGATACATGACCATTAAAAGTGGAAAACATGGAAAGTCTGACTAGCTGTCTTTGATCATAGCTATCTTCGTTCTATCTTCCTTGTTAGGTGGTATAATCGGGTGAGTAATATTGAGCTTAGGCGCCGAGTGTTGGGTAATGAGAGAATCAATCGATCAGATTGTGAAGGTACATCGACTGAGATGGCTAGAACATGTGTGTTACGTATCCCTAGCCATTGCCTTCCTCGATGGGGAATGTTATCTGACAGACAGAGGACCGATGAAGTTGGAGAAGGGCTAGTGGTAATCAAACGAGTTAGTTCGATCTTTGACAGTTAGTTTGAGCCAGTCATGTAGGTAGGCGTAGACTGTATGGTTGGGGTCCTCGGGGTAGTGATATGGCTCAAAATCGTCCTCAATGGTGTAGATGCACCCACTTCTTGTGATTTATAATATCCAATAAAACTGTATTGTTCTTCGATATTACTACTCTTTTTGTCACATATCTCTGATTATAATCTCTCTTTTGAAACTCTTTTTACTCTCTTTTCTTGTTTGGTATACCACGTGAAGTGTGGCAACTTGAAATGCTGTATATCTGTGGAAAGTTCTACGTTGAAAGCAGTCAGCCAATAAGTCTAGGAATTCATAAGAAGTGGATAGATCTGCCCCAGTAAGAACGATTCTGAGTTATGTCAACAACTGTTTCCAGCTATCGATTCTTAGAGTTTCAACGGCCCCAGCCACGCAGTCTACATCTCTCTAACCAGCTAAAAGCAACAACCAAAGACTTCATAGATTGATGCCAGTAAAATATTCCGCCTAACATTTTACATTAAGAAGTAAAGACACTCGGATATAACTCAACCCTTCCTCTTACAGTTCATAAACTCTTGCATCCTACCTATTCTTCTTTATTGTTCACCCTTATTCTTTCCTGGTTTGCTTAAAAAAGACTATGTCACAATTCGTAGAATGCTGAAGACTGTCAGTCAATAGGGCGAGTGGTGTCCCAGTGGACTACATAGTTAACGTTGTTGTCGATAGGCACTTGACTTCGTGCAATAAATTTGCTAGAGGGATTTTGTCTGACTTGGAGCATCCACTTTACTTACCCTCAGCTTTCACCTTGCATCTCCTCAGGTAGAACAAGAAGTAACTTCAGAAAATTGTATGCTTGCACGTCTAAGTACAGAAATTCTATGATACCATACTTGGCACGTATTTTATGTGATAGTGAAAATAGTGTCAGGCAAGAACTAACTAACCTTTTTTCATCTAGTAAATAAACAATTTCCTCCATTCATCCTTCAAGTTTTACTTTTATTATTTCTATTATATTTATGGTCCTGTTACTTTTTTGTTTTACTCTCATAATTGCAAACACCAACTTATCTCTATGACTGCTGTAATCTTTGTTTTTTCCCTCACCGTATCATGTAAAGAGAACATTATATTCAATAATTTTAGACATGCTAGGATTTCTATACTGCATCGACAATACTGTGTGAAACAAGGCCACGGTAATTTTCACTTGTATTATAATTATTAATATTATTATTATTACTGTGGAGAAGTACAGACTTCAGCTTTCTTATTTTATCTAAAGTCTTAAGCTAAAGCTTTTACAGAAGGCTAATAAATTCCTCAAACAAACTTCCATAAGTTAATAAATTTACCTGAACTTCGCAGATGATCTTTGTCGAGTGTCACACAGACTTTAAGATCTATAGGAGAAATGCAAAAATATTAGCAGAGGAGGCAGAGAAGACAGGTGATGAAGATACCCGACCACCACCACCACCAACAACAACAACAACAACAACAAGGTGTATCACATAGTGACATGTCAAATATGCGCAAGACAATACTAACAATAAGGAATCTAAATCATCAGTAGTAATGCCATACAAGGAAGGAACCTCGGAAATCTTACGCCTGAGAATTCTTAAAAAGGCAGGAATAAAAATGACATTCAAACCACCCACAAACTCAATTAGAAACAAGCTTTGTCAGTTAAAGGATCAATCCTGTGGAGCCTTTAAAACAAAACAATTTGGTTTATCTAATACCCTGCCTGCGTTGATTATCAGATCAAATACATAGGTCAAAGTAGTAGAACAGGGGAAGTCAGACTAGGCGAACATAAAAACCTAGCAACAAAATCTAGATTGTTTGACCCGAATAAGATAAGAAATCTAGAGAATAGTTCAGCTATAGCACTCACTAAATGCAGTTACACATAACCACACAATAGAATGGGATAGGATGACAGTTTTAAGATCTAATGTCACAGGGTGGAGGAAGAGATTGATAACAGAAGCTTTGTTTATCGAATCAACTGCAAATACACGTAGTAAGAATGATTCATCACCTGTCCCTGATATCTGGAAAATTCTACTAACCCAACAGAGGCAAATAGGAGAGAACAAAGAAAACTATAAAACTCAAGTTTCAAATTCGTTTGATTACAATTGATATGATTATGAACCACGATAAATTTTGTTCGAAACTCTGTCATCCAGTAAATAATACTGTTTCACTGACTGTGTGATACACCTAATAAACAAACTAATATGGAATTACTTACTACCACAGTGCCCAAGTTTTACACATATATTAACAACAACGACAAGAGTCAATCTCCATGAGTAAGCGAAATCTACAGCAAGCCAACCATTTCACTTATTTAGACAGCAGGATCCGAAAATTAAGACACATCTGCATTATTCTGCAGGCAGTGTGAAAACCTACTGCGTTCAGTATAAAGAATAGAACTCCAATTTTCGACAGTAATGTTAAGCCAGTGCTTCTATATTGGTACAGATACTTTCAGGTGCATTGCGAGGAGCATGACCAACAAGCTGGTGTAGACTTTCATCAACAGCTGCCCACTTCACTGGCTCCAAACCAAAAGATCAGATGGCCAGTCAGAAAGGATAAGCAACAAGGAACTCTGACAAAGAACCAACCAAGAACCCATCGCCCAACAAATATGCCGAAGGAAATGGTGATGGATTTGATATACACTGAGATAGTCGAGTGACATTACACGCCAAAGCCCTTGAGGGGAGCCCAAATGTGAAGCGACGAGAGCTAGGCACTCGAGAACAACATGCGGAAGATCGTGTGAGGAGGAAAATGAAAGCCTACTGGAGATCTTGGACGAAGTGAAGTGGCGATGTGGCGAGTCTCAGCGGGAATGCAAATACATCTGAATGACGAGTCTCAAACAGGACGAAATGAGCATCCTGGATTCCAATGCTAGTCACCATCAACTAAAAATGGTAGTTTTGAGTGAAATCCAATAAAAACAGAAGTTTTATTATCATTAGAACCTTTCCTTACTGTATTTGATGAATCCATGCCAGGAAACCATGTTTTGAAGAGGCCAACACGTAGAAGACTTCTGTTCGGATTCCTGAAATGAATAAAAACAAAAAGGCATGCCCTATCAAGAGATACTTAATATATATATATATATATATATATATCCTGTAACAAGTTTAGGTTGGCAGAAAAACCTGTTTACCATTCTAATGATACTCCAAAACACAGACGTTATCACGACATCGCGTTAAGAGAGAGAGAAAAAAAGGAATTACACTCTACAATCAGACCATAAAAGGTGGCCTTACCTTAACAGAAGATGAATCGCGTTAAGATTTCAATACGGAATTGTACGACAATCCCCCAAATAATCCAGCTGCTGCTCTTTTAAAATCATAAAATGGATTCATAGTCTTTGCGTTCTGGATGGAACATAGTGCTTCAAACCCTTAAGTTTCATTAGCTTTAGTATTGTTTTATGGGGGTGGGATGGGGTTGGCAGTCTCACGCTCTAACCTACTCTCTTTTTCAGACTAACTACTGTCTCGTAAATCAGGCTAGGTTTAGGAGTACATCGGTCCGGAATCCAACCGTGAACCATGAAAGTTGGTTGGCGAGCATGCACTCTACCACTGAACCAACGACTCACTTGTGTGCATGCATGACCTCCCCCCACAAGGGGAACATACCTAAGACCTTCAGTTTACTAGCTAAGCCCGTTAACCATTGAGTCACGCGGACTTCAATTGGCTAAAAAATATGGCCGGTTATTAACGCAGGCTTCAGGAAGTCGAGGAAGTAATTGGTCAGTGGTAGCCCTGTGCTGAAGCCGCATATATACATAGCATAACAACTACCCTTGATTTCCATCACTACTTCACATACCACACTAGGGATAAAAGCTTCGGGGAAAGGTATGCTAAAATGAAAACCTTTTCGCAGTTTTGAATTCCACCAACTACCTCACCTTTAAAACAGTTTTGTATGAAGAAAACTGTGTGATGAAAATTTCTTCAAAAACAGTGCAATAGGGTTTCAAGATATCGCTATATATTAGAGCAAACGCTAACATATCTACTTTATATGTGAATTAAGTAAAAGGCCTCAAAAAAGGAGGAAATCTAGTGATCATTCGAAAAAAATTGTTTCTCCCTACGAAACATGTTTATTGGTTCATCAAGAAAAAACAGGTATGCTTCTTTGGTTACAGCATACTTTGAGTTCTCTGTAAGCTCAGACTTTTCTCTCATTCATTCGCGTTCCCAGTGGAAAATAAAGCTTCAAGCTTAAGCTCTTTAGTTTCAGTAACGGTGATGGTGGAGTTTTACAGGGTGGGGTTCCAAGCCTCACGCAATACACACCCAACCTTTCCTTCTCACTGAGCTTACTGCCGGCTAAGCGAAGTTTGGGGGCGCTTCAGTTGGGAATCAAACCCGAACCTGCAGTGTAGTTTGCGAACAGGTTCACACTTACATAATGACTATTTATAAATGCATTTATGGAATAGGGTAAGTGTCTAATGAACCTCAACAAAATGATTAAAAACTTCTACGAAAACTGATATCTAGTGTACTTGAATTTTATAACACAGAGAACCACAGACATTAATGAAAAAAGAGCTTAGTATTACTAATTAACAGTCCAGGGGTTGTGCTACACCTTATATCTTGTATATCGAATATCGATCCCGACCGAAAGCTGCTACCTTGACGTGGTGGTCGGGCTTGAACACCGCAATGATCTATTCAAGCTATACTGGCTGAGACTTATGTCTCTTGAGGTACTACCATGCCAGGCAGGTTGTTTGGATAGCGGTTAAACAAAAAGCAGCTACCCAATCCAACATCATGTCCAATACAAAATTACAAAATTTCATGCCGGATCGGCCGTGGCCCGGATTAACAACGACCGCGCTTCCTGCTGCCGTGTCACAGGGCGGGAGTGATAAATCTGCTACTGAGACACACCAAACAAAAAAGAACGAATAAAAACAGGCCGCGTGTGACCGGCCTCAAGCAGTTGTCCCCTGGGCTCTGCGGTCACGCAACCAACTTCCACGGTGTGGGCAGCCGGGAAGTAACAATCGCCCTCACAATCCGAAATGCACACGAAACCTCTCTATTACTCACTCATCTTTGTCTTCATCTTCATCTCTATCATCTTGCCTTCCTTCCACTGATGCAACTCCTCGACTTGATAGCTCTCCACTTCCTCTCCACTCTGCGTCCACTAAAAACGATGGAAGCCAAAAAACCACCACCGACAGCCTCTTAAAGCCGCGCCACCAATTTCATATAGGAGCTCTTAATGTTAGGACACTTTGCCAAATAGGACAACAAGCATCACTAGCCAAGACCCTGGCATCACGAGCCATTGATGTATGCTGTGTTTCAGAAACACGCATACAAGACCCAAGTGTGGTTATTCACCTAACCCCACCTGGCCAACAGGTTGAATCTGCAAAATTCACCTTGAGGGTGTCAGGAGATGCCACAGCTAGTTCACGAGGATTAGCTGGCGTAGGGATAGCTTTGAGTACTAGGGCAGAAAAGACATTGCTTGACTGGATCCCGGTAGATAGCCGAATGTGTGCTGTCCGCCTGAACGGATCAGTAAGAAGGAGGAAGGACTGCACTACTCGCCGATGCCTTTTCGTAATCTCCGCCTACGCCCCCACTGACTGCAGTTCAGATGAAACGAAGGATGAGTTCTACCAAAAGCTGTCTAGTTTGGTGCGAAAGGCTAAACGCTCAGACATAGTCGTTCTAGCTGGTGACTTTAACGCTCAAGTAGGGAAATTGTGTCAATCTGAGAAGGATGTCGGTGGCACCTATGGAGCTCCGTGCCAGCGAACCGACAACGGTGACCGTCTCCTACAGTTCTGCTCTGATAATCATTTGTTTCTTGTAAGCACTAACTTTAAACACAAGGAGAGACACTGTTTGACTTGGAGACCCCCTTCATCAAACCAACGCTGGACACAAATAGACCACATAGCAATAAGCTATCGTTGGCGTGGGTCGGTAGGAGATTGTCGCTCCTTCTGGAACACGTGCGTAGATACCGACCATGCACTGGTCCGCGCTCGGGTGTGCTTACGACTGAACGGACGTAGGAAACAGCTGGCGGTAAAACCATCACGTCCCCAGCTCGATCAGGAAACTAAATCCGTATTTGAGGAAGAACTAGCTAAACACATATCTGTGTTCGACAGCTGTGCTCACCCTGAAGAAGCTTGGAAAAATATCCAGGCAGCCATAGATACAGCTGTAAAAGCTGTGAATAAGGTAAACCCAAAGGTGAGTAAAAACCACTGGATCTCCACCGCCTCATCCGAACTGATAGATGCTAGAAGACTTATTCCGGCGAGCTCCGAATTCAATGAGGAGCGAAAGCTGCACAAGAGGAAACTTACGAAAAGTCTCCGCAAGGACCGTGAACAGTGGTGGGCGACAAAAGCCAAAGAGATGGAGAAAGCTTCGAGGATAGGCAACACCAGGCAACTCTTTGGACTCATCAGGGAAACGGGTGGGAGAAGACAAATCATCAGTGAGACAATCTCGGAAAAAAATGGCACTATAATTAGCTCCCAGGATAGACGACTGGATCGTTGGAAAGAGCATTATGAGGAGCAGTTTAATTTGCCCACAGCCACGCTCAACCTTCCGAGCATCCAACACCTCCCTGAATGGGATATAGACACAGGTCCTCCGTCACTAACTGAGGTTACTAAAGCTGTCACCAATCTGAAACTAGGCAAAGCAGCGGGACCTGATGGAATGACTCCAGAGGTATTTAAGTACGGTGGAGACAGCTTACTGTCCGGATTAACTGAGGTACTAGGCAGCGTCTGGGAATCAGAAGAAGTCCCATCGGGTTGGTGTAAGTCACTGATTATCCCCATATACAAGAAGGGAGACAAGTCTTCCTGTGATAATCACAGAGGGATTAGCTTGACTAATATAGTATCTAAAGTCTTAGGCTCAATAATCATGCGTAGACTGAGTGGTGCTCGGGAAGCACAAACACGAGAGAGCCAGGCAGGCTTTAGACCAGGAAGAGGGTGTATTGATCATATCTTCACCCTCCGACAGATTCTAGAACATAGGCATTCCTACCGGCGTCCAACAGTCATTATATTTCTTGACCTAAAGGCAGCATTCGACTCTGTCGATCGGGAAGTTCTCTGGAGATGCTTGGCTGTAAAGGGAATTCCGAGAAAATATATTGCACTGATTAAGGCACTCTACTCGTACTCATACAGCCAGGTGAGGGCTTACGGCGAGCTGTCATCTGAACTGATGACGACCAGTGGTGTCCGTCAAGGATGCCCATTATCTCCTTTTCTATTCAACTTCATCATAGATGTGTTAATGGACTTAACCCTAGGTGACTTCAGCGACTCAGGGATTGACTTGCTACCGGGGAATAATCTCGTTGACTTGGAATATGCAGACGATATAGTCCTTCTAGGCGAAGACGCTGACGAAATGCAGAGTCTTCTAAACACCTTGAGCCGCAATCTACGAATGTTTGGCATGCGATTCGCTCCCGCCAAATGCAAGATGATGTTACAGGACTGGACTACATCGACGCCTAGTTTAAAAATAGGAAGTGAAGTGGTAGAGCACGTTGACCGCTTCACTTATTTGGGAAGTACCATCAGCCCCAACGGGCTGATCTCTGACGAAATCTCAGCACGAATACAAGGGGCTCGTTTCGCATTTGTTAGTTTACGCCGACTCTGGCGTAGACGAGATGTTCGACTATCGACCAAAGGGCGGGTGTACTGCTCATCAGTCCGCTCCGTCCTCCTTTATGGTTGTGAGACCTGGCCACTGAGAGTGGAAGACATGAAAAGACTAGCTGTCTTTGATCATAGGTGCCTGCGTTCTATTTCCCGTGTAAAGTGGCATAATAAGGTGAGCAACATGGAGGTTAGGCGTAGAGTTCTAGGTAAACAGGGGAAATCAATCGACGAAGTCGTGAAGCTACAAAGACTGAGATGGTTAGGACATGTGTTACGTATGCCAAGCCATCGCCTCCCTCGACGAGCAATGTTAGCGGATATAGGGTCAGGCTGGAAAAAAGCTAGCGGCGGTCAAACAAAAACTTGGCATCAGTCAATGAAATCCACAACAGTTGGTCTAAGCCACGTAGGAAGGTGTAGACTTCCAGGCTGGGGTCCTCGGGACGGTAAAAATCTATGGTTGGAAACAATTGGTGACATGGCTCAAAATCGTTCTCAGTGGCGCAGATGCATCCACTCCCTGTGACTTATGATCTCCAATGAAACTGTTTTGTATTTCTTTATTACTCCTTTGTCTCACACCTCTGCTCACTGTTTCTATTATGCTTTTCTTGTACTTTCTTCTCTTGCTTCGCGTGCTACACGGAATGTGGCGACTTGAACTTCCGCACATTTGTGCAAAGTTCTATGTCGAAAACAGACAGACAGACAGATATCGAATAGAAAATAACAGAAAAGGGAGATAAGTAGACGGACTAAAGTAATAGTAGGATATCGTCGAAAAGTATAACAAAAAAAAGAAGGAAAGATAAGGTAAATGGGGAGATAAGGCTAAGACTAACAAAAGCGGGTCTGAAAACTATCACCATGACTCTGTAATGATAGCTTTCAGTGATCAAGTGCACCCTTTTATAGTATTTTTTTAAATGACTCTTATAATTGGCCACCGACTCCATGTACTCATACGATGTCTTTTTTGGACTAATTGTAGCCTTTTTTGTAACCTCATCTGACCTCTGACAACATGTCAGCGTTGAGGTAGACAGTGTGAAGGTGTATGACGTATAAATCACTCACCGGGGGAGATGGGAGTTTAAATTTCCCATTTAACTTACGATATGCAGAACTCTGTACATAACTTACGACGTCGCTCACTACACAGTATCGGTAAATAATACAGAACCAATATTATTGCTATAACTACGGTGCCTAATACACTTACTGTGTGTAAGTTTACGACACACTCCGGATGCCCAACATGAAGCTGATAAGATTCTGTTTGAAACAGAAATCTATAGCTTAATAATCACAAATACTTTAGTGATTAAGCCATATCTTCAAAAAATCACGAAAAAATATGGATAGTAAATAATAACAAAGAGAAAAATCCCCATTCAACTAACAATTAGTGAAATCTTCAACATGTCTACAAGATGCCAACCTATAGAACCTGCTGTCAATTGGTGTTAACAACCACTAACACAACACTGGAAAAAAGGTTGGCGACATTTTTACTATTCATGACAAATACTCATCCAAGTAGCATTTGACAATGAAGGAATGTAATGGGTTTCTGCGGTATTCTATCAAGCTTGCTGAAGTCGATGCGAGGATCGGTTTTCTCAGAGATTGTATAAACAACCATAGATATCCAAAGTCGTATTTGCTGAACTGTTTGTTCTTACATTTTCAATAGTCATACTCAAACATAACTCAATGAAACGTGTTATTTGTAAAGAAACTGACTGACTAACTAGTTTCGACGTAGAACTTTGCACAGATGTACAGCTGTTCGATTCACCACACTTCACGTAGCACACAAAGTAAGAGAAGAGAGTAGCGAGAGATAATAAACAGATATGAGGCAAAAAAAATAGTGATATGGAAGATCAATAGAATTTTTTTGGATATTATAAATCACAGGCATCGGTAGTACAGCGGTAGAATGCTCGCCAATCACGCATTTGGTTCCGGGTTCAATCCCCGATCACAGACGCCCTCCATTGCCTCACTAAGCCAGTAATAAAACTGGCAAAGAGGGAAGGTTGGGCATAAGGCTAGCAACCCCATCCCGTAAAGAATAAACACCACTGCCGCTGAAACTTCAAGCCTCTAGCTTGAAGCCCTATGTTCCACTGGGAATGTAAATTCTAAACGTAATTCTAAAAAAAATCACAAGAAGTGGATGTGTCTGCGCTAGCCATTAAGAATGACTTTGAGTCATATCACCAATTGTCTCCAGTCATTGGTTTTTACGGTCCCAAAGACCCCAGCCAAGAAGTCTACACCTTCCTACGTGACTTAAGCTAACTGTTGTAGATTCTATTGATTGATGCACACAACACACATCCATGGCTCAAGATGCCAGAGTTCTCACTAGTGATACCTGTTGTTCGATTTCGCAGAGGGTTCTGACGTTGAATGCTCCTATATGAAGTTAGCGGCGTGGCATTAACAGGCTGTCGAAGGTGTTTCTATAGCTCTTATAAAGAAAGAAACACTCTAAATTTAGTTATTTCGTGATTCAATTTTATATGGCAATAATTCTGAATAAGCAGATATGAAGGGTAATGAAGTTAACTGAATGAAATGGTACAGTTCTATACGCCAAACGACGATTTTCACTTTTAAGTTAGATCACGGATTTATATCAGTTAGAGAACCATTGGAAACCAGGAAGTATCAGAGACCTGTCTCATCCTTGTTGACCATTCACCTACTGAGAACGAACCCAACGGCCCATGAATTCTAACTCCTATTAGTGCCATGCCACCTAATGTCATTAGTGAATATTTGTCTTCATATTCAACTTGGTGGATCCAGCTGGTCACACATTCTCACTATAGCTTTAGACAGCTTCATCATGTAGTCAGACCTTCACTTTGATCGTAGGCTGATAATACTAACCAGAGGCCTAGATTAGGATGGATTCTAATTTTATATGGAAGTTTAATGTTGAAACAAATGGACTACATCTTTACAACTGAAAAGTTGATATATACACGTCCACTAACAAAATAAGGTAAGGGACATCTTTGACATGGAATTTTAACAATCATAAGAATAAGTGTGTTGAAGTTAGCGTAACAACGGTAGTTTAAACTGCTCATAACTCGCCAGCAGGATGGAATGAGTCATAACAGTCAAGAATAAGGCTTATGATGATCGGATGAAATGATGATCGATGTCTATAGTATTTTCTTGATGGAAACAACCATATATAATAAGGCAGATTAACAAACTATGCTATTTGGTACAACGGAATTTCTGACTAGTAAATTAATTAATGTGTGCATCGGTGGCACAGAGGTTAGCACGCTCGCCGACCATGCACATGGTCCGGAGTTCGATCCCCGGCTACAGACGCACTCCTTTACCTCACTAAGCCAGTAATAAAACTGACAAAGAGGGAAGGTTGGGCATAAGGCTAGCAACCCCATCCTGCAAACATAAACACTGCTACTGAAACTTCAAGCCTCTAGCTTGAAGCCCTATGTTCTACTGGGGAACGTGAAGGAGTAAAAAAATTTAATTGCTATGTAAAGACTAAATATCCTCATTTATAAATTATCCCTTGTAACTAATAGATTCCGACCAACACTGAGGATTAGATGATATGTCATCCGCTAGTAAATGCATTTCATTTACCTTCACAAGTGAACAGTTGCAATCTGAACTGGTAAGCCAACTTGATTACAACACAGGAAGCAAAGGGTTTGAACACGTGCGTTGATGTCATTTTACTCAAGCTTATGAGTACATCTTTTTTAATGAAGTCCAAAATGTGTAATTTTCTTTCAACCATTAAACACTTACTTCTTTCCACACCGTTTTGTGTTGATAAGCGGCATTTAAAAAACACAACAAATAATTAACCTATACTATACAATGATATCCTTATTACTTACCTACAGTCGACTACGGACAGATATACCAAATCTCCTACAAATCGAATGGCAAACGTAAACCATCGAAATGTGTTCAACATATATGAGCAAGGAAGATTCAATGATTTTCTGATAACGGCATATTCTTCAAATGACATACACGGCACAGAGTCATACGTATTATTCGAATATGAATCAGTGACATCACAACTAGCTATCATAAAGAAAAATAAAACCAAACAAGAGTGAACAATTTATATATCAGTGATAAAAAGAAGAGCTGCCCTATCGTATTAGACAGGAAATAGTATATTTGAGAATACTGCTTAAGAAACATATTACATAGAAATGTGGGGGAGAAAGAATAGTAACATAGAAAAACAATTGGGTTTGATTGGATATGGCAGATTACAAAGAGTGAATGCACCATTGAGAACAATTTTGAGCAATACCCAGCCAATAGTTCTTAGAATCTCGAGGACTCCAGCCAGCCAAGCAGTTTACACCTCCCCACATGACTGGCTCAAACTAACTGTCAACGATTTCGTGGACTAATGCAATGTTCTCGTTCGATCACCACTAGCCCTTCTCCAACTTCATCGGTCCTCTGTCTGTCAGATAACATTCCCCATCGAGGAAGGCAATGGCTAGGGATACGTAACACACATGTTCTAGCCATCTCAGTCGATGTACCTTCACAATCTGATCGATTGACTCTCTCATTACCCAACACTCGGAGCCTAAGCTCAATATTACTCACCCGATTATACCACCTAACAAGGAAGATAGAACGAAGATAGCTATGATCAAAGACAGCTAGTCAGACTTTCCATGTTTTCCACTTTTAATGGTCATATATCACTGACAGCCATAGAGGAGAACAGAGCGAACTGGTGAGCAGTACATTCGCCCTTTGGTCAATAGGCGGATATCACGTCTACTAAGCAAGAAATAGCGTAAGTTACCAAGTGTCACATGAGTCTTTTGTATCCGTGCTGAGATTGCGATTGTGGACGACTTTAGACCATATTTCCAAGAATCTAAAATCACTTGTGTGCGTCGGTGGCACAGCGGTTAGGACTCTCGCCGACCATGCACATGGTCCGGGGTTCGAGCCCACGCCGGCGCACACCTGATATCTATGGTCGGCCTGCAAAATTTGGGCTACCGATATCCATGCTGAAAATTCCATACTTGTACCAAAAATACAGTGTGGAATCAAGCTGTAAATCAAAAATAAATAAAAATAAATCAAATACTTCTTAAACTCCCTATCACATATCTAGCTTCAACGATTAAAGCAAAGAACACTTCATAGAGTGCGGATACATTCTGGTGTAATTACCGTAAACTTTTCTTTGATGTAATATTGTTTAAAATGATATTGAAAGGAAAGTTAAGTGTTTATGACAAATTTCCTGACTATTTTAACTGTGAAGGTTTGGAGTCTGATTATTCACTGCAAGTAGCACTACAAAATTCACTCTTATGTATTTGACGAGTCAGACAGCGTCAAATTTGATGGTCACAAATACCTAACTGATCATGTATATGCCCCCATAGACGAACTGGTATGACCGAGGGTGGATGGACTTCGGTCTTTCTCCCCAAATTTTCTCATATGACCACGCGTTCATAGCCTCTGTTAGGTAAGTCCCATACACTACCTTCACGCAGTTGGAATGTTTCTCACAAAAGTGAAAGGGTAAACACGAAATTCTGGCATTCAAAACCAGACTAGTGGGGAGTTGAATAGTCCTGATTCCAAACCAATGGTATATGTGGGCTCTAGAATCCGTCTGGATCGAATGGTGTATAAACCTGTTTGGTCACCGGAAGCTATGAGGACGCTACTCCACAACCTTGTGTTTTCAAGTCAGAGCCTCAGGGGGTAGTCCTTTAAGACAACTACCTGCACGGGCAGTATTCCGGCCCTCGCACATCTCTTGGTGCCCATAATGTATCAAATTTGTTTTGATAGAAATTATCGTGATTATATATAAATAAATATATAATAAACTATGGTAAACAACGATTTTAACCGGATAATTATACTAAGAATTATGAGCAGTGCAGGGGTAAATTGAATAGTAATGACACATCATAAACACATGTACACTAACATAAACTGACGGATATTTTAGCCAGATCGTTGGATAGAACATCAACTGAATCAACAGCTACATCTTCATCAATATCATTTGTTGAGTTATTTTCTTCGATTTTTGATACACAGCTAAAAAAGGAAGATTAAATTTTATATTAGCAAAAGATTTACGATTACTTTGATAGTTTGCGGGTGATACCTCCTTGAATATTTGATGCTGTAAGTTTTTCAACAGTTTTTAGAGCAAAGTTCTATAAAGAATAGATCTTCACAAAAGTGAATTTAAAACGTTAATACCTTTTTCTCGGTTAAAACAGACTGAATCTTTTGAATAGACTTTTGTAATTTTTCACCGGAATCAGGTAACTTCGAAAAAAGGCTATGTCCAGAATAAAAAACAATTTCATACGACAAACCTTTTATGCAAATTCATCTGCCTTAATAGCAAATCCTCTAGCTCTACAACAGAAAACAATTCAAGGGACGGTTGTTTTTCCATTCATAAGTCTGGAATTTAAGGAAGAAAGGAAAATAAGAAGTTTGCAGTATTGAAATAAAAATATTGTAAAATGATAATGACAATATTAACATAAATCTATGAAGACAGTTGAACACGGTAAAAACAATAAATGTAGCAAGATAATGGGCTCATTTTTATTATGCGAATTCTTTTCAAAAACTCAACTTGGCCAGTACCAAAATACCAAAACAATTACGAAAAGTATTTGGATATATATATATATATATATCATGTAACATTAGAATTTTGGTAATTATTTAGATTGGTAGCTAAAACCAAACCGAAAGACCAGGTCTGTTGAGAATAAAGTCTTAAGACGTGTATTTAGGATATCACAGAGCACAATTCTGGAACAAATATAATTAACTCCGAATCGGATGAAATGTCAGTATCAGAGCTTTTATTTCTACTAAGGTTGCTTTAAAACTTAAATCTAGTTAAAATAATAGGACCTGACTGTTTATCTGCAGGAGCTTCTAGGAGTAACGATTACGTGTTTTTTGTTTAGAATAACTGAAATACCAGTTAACAAGTAAGAACCACATTTCCATAAGGATAATACAGACTTTTAGCAATTTCACTTCATAAAAAGTAGGGAAATTGTTCGGTGTAAGAGAAACACGGACGCACATGCACTTTTATCCAATTGATAATTAACGACGTCTACTGCACCTAAGCCGATGATTCTGTGGATGAAGTTTGAACGTTCAATCCTCCACTTTGATGACAATAGCTCAAACCGAGTCCTAGCCTACTACCTAAAAGTAGCAACTCATCTCCACTGGAAAGGCATTAACGAAGGTCAGTTGCACCTTTTACTATCCAGTAATGATAGTAACTGAGTAGTTGAAGGATGCGGTGACAGCTGCAGCAGCACAGAAAGGAAATCCTCTAAATCCAAGAGTACAGTGGTGTTAATTCTCTTGTGATGTAATTCTCTGGAAAATGTGTGATTTGACATTATTAAGACGGAGGTTACACACTGAATAAGCCGTCTTGATAAAAAGGCAATACAACTGAGGACACTGGAGAGGAATTAAAATTATAGTCATTACATTATATGATACAAGTTCAAGAAGACGATTCACCAACGGATTGCCGACTAGCTAGTCTGTGTCTATTATCTGTACACTTTTTAAGTGGGCATTCAACTGGAAAATTACCACCATATTAGGCTTCAAACACTTTATTCCCGAGATCCACTTACTATTACGTAATATTTTACCTCAAGATGCGAATAAATAAATGTATCAATCAAGTTAACCCCTTAAAACTCAAAAATATACTCAGATTTCGGTAAAAATTCCTTTCGGAATTGTTTCTTTACAATTTTCTTCAATCCGGAGGTTGCTGAATAGCTATCAATTATAAAGTCTAAGCTAATTAAAACAGTCTAAGTTGTACGCGCAAACCACTCCACACATCTAGTGAACTCTAACACAGGCAGTCACAAACTAAACAATAGTTCTGGCTACTTCTGAACAACAGAATACGAAACATGATTCCGAAATAGTCCTTGCTGTTGATCTGCACACATCCGGAGGACAATATTTGAACGAAGTAAAACTATGTAATCGGTAAGTATACTTATCGACACTCTTATGACAGCGTCCGAGTCAAATAGTATGCTACTTATCATTTTTCAAGCACCTAAATTGTGAGAATTGTCTCATATAAATCCACTTCTAATCAAAATTGACTCTACAACGAAATTAGTATATTTAACGCCACCGTCGCTCTTATTTACTTCGAGTCCTGTAATTCGCTTCCGCCCTACATTAGTTATTGTAAGAAATAAGTAGGATTGAAGGGGGGAAAAGCAAAACACCACTTCGAAAAACGACCTTGAAAATCCAATGGACGCGCGTCCGATTCAGGCGTTAAGGTCTCAGATTCCGATTCAGATGATGAGTATGCAGGCTCTTGTGCCCTATGTTATTCCTTGCAAAATATATCTCTGCAGAGATCTAACTTCTCTTTGAAAGCGTTCACCGATGGAGCTGTTACTAGTGAATCAGGTAAGGAGTTCCAATCGTTGACCACTCAGTGAGAGAATCTAAATTCTACACGTATTTTAATCGTCCTCGGTTTGAGCACCATTTTGCGGTGACCCCGTAAATGTATCCCAGAAGGGGAGAAAAGGTTAGAAAGGTCAGTTCCTAAATCACCCTTAAGTATACGGTATGCTAAAATTAAATCGCTTCTCTTCCTTCGGTATGATAACGGGAACAGATTTAAATGCTCCATCCTCTTATCATAAAGAAGATGTGAGATACCACTAAATAATTTTGTTCCTACACTCTGTACTCTTTCCAGAATATGTGCCTCCCTTTTGAAGCATGCACTCCCCGCTTGTATGCAGTATTCTAGATGAGGCCTGACATATGTGGCGTAGAGTATTTGGAACATGCCCTCATCTGATCGTTTGAAAGCCCTTCGAATTGCCCATAGCATTCAAAAAGCTTTAGCTGAGGCTGCATTGCAATTTGCAATTGTTTCCGAATCATTGCTGACAATGATTCCTAGGTCCTTCTGTTCGTTAACATCAGGTAGTTCTGCGTCCCCTACGGAGTACGACGTATAAGACTTCTGACCTAAGTGCATTACCGCGCTTTTCCTAGCATTCATTTCCAAACTCCATAGGCTTGACCACTCAGCTTATTTATCTCAATCAGTTTGTAGGGCCGACCTATCCTCGTTATTATTTACAGTTTTTCATATATTAATGTCGTCTGCAAATAATAATGAAGATGAAGAAAGAATCCCTGGTAATTCGTTAACGTATAATAGGAATAGCAATGGACCTAATACAGTTCCCTGGGGCACTCCACTGGATACTGCTTTTCATCCTGATAGTACACCGTTAACTCTAACCTTCTGCCTTCTATCCATTAAGTAATCTCTAAACCACTCACATAGGCATTGGTCTAGTCCGAAACCTTTAAGTTTACTAAGGAGACCTAAGTGGGATACTTTGTCGAATGCCTTGCTAAGATCAATAAAAACCACCTCCAGCAGATGGTTTCTATCTCTGGCCTCAACCCAGTCTTCCCTAGCCAATAGTAGGTTTGTCAGGCAGGATCGTTCTGGTCGAAATCCATGCTGTTCCACAGCCAACAAGCCATGTGTTTCAACATAAGCTAATAGTTGATCCCTTATAATAGTTTCCAATACCTTTGCAATAATGCATGTCAGACTTACAGGCCTGTAGTTAGATACCAATTGCCTATCCCCGTCCTTGAAGATAGGGCTTATAATGGCATCCTTCCAGTCCCTGGGCGGCTTAGCCTACATCAGAGACATTTGGAAAATCTCCGTAAGCGGAATATATATTATATCCGCCAAGGAAATTAACAGCTTAGGGTGAAGTCCATCCGGCCCAGGTGGTTTACCTGGCTTCAGTTTAGACAGTAGTTTGAGAACCTTTGTGTGCTCTACCACAATTGAGGGCATCTGAGTGGCGATGGCAGTGACCCCGCCATATCCCTGGGTGGTACTATCAGACGAGAAGACGTCACAGAAGTATTCAGAGAGGTTTTCACCCTTTCCTTCGTCTGACTCAGCCCCCTTGGTGGCCCGTTATTCCTTGCGATATATATCTCTGCAGAGATCTAACTTCTCTTTGAAAGCGTTCACCGATGGAGCTGTTACTAGTGAATCAGGTAAGGAGTTCCAATCGTTGACGAGTCTGTGAGAGAATCTAAACTCCGCACGTATTTTGTTAGATCTCGGTTTTAGCACCTTCTTCTGTTGACTTCGTAATTGTATCGTATAGGCAGCGAAATGTTTTGAAATATCAATCCTGAAATCACCCTTAATTATACGGCATGCTAAAATTAAGTCGCCTCTTGCAAAGGTAAGATAATTGGAAGAGATCTAAGTACCTCACTCTCTTGAGATACCACTAACTAATATCGTTCCCACCCTTTGTACTCTTTCTAAGATGTGTCCTTCCTTTTTGAAGCATGGACTAGCCGCCTGTATGCAGTATTCTGGATGAGGCCTGACATATATTGCGTTGAACACTTTGAACAGACTCATCTAATCGTTTGCAAGCTCTTCGGAGTGCCCATAGCATTCGAGAAGCCTTACCTACGGTTGCCCTACATTTTGCATTTGTTTTCGAATAATAATTGACAATGACTTCCAGGTCATTGTGTCCGTTAACACTACGTTGTTTTCTGTCACCTAGGGAGTGTGAAGTTTAAGACATCTGACCTAGGTGCATTACAGCGCTTTACCTCGAATTAATTTCCAAACTCCACAGGTTCGACCACTCAGCTAATTTATCTAGATCGCTTTGTAGGGCCAACCTACCATCATACTATTTGAATATTCTATTTCGATATTTCTATTAGTATAAACTGTTAACTGCATATGGTTTTCAAACAGTTTTCAACACTTTACCCAACTTACGAATACAGTCCGCCATGCAGACACAAATGGCGCAAATGGAGAATTTTTGAATCGACCTCGACACCATTTGATGCAGTAAAACAACTTAACATGACCTTATCTAGTTTTCGCCTCCACGATCAAATTTCTGTCCTGTTATAAAACTATGATAAGACTGCTGAAAAATGGAATGAATATATCATTGATCTCAACATGATACATCGGTAAACTTTAAGCAAAGGGTGCTGTTCACAATAAAGTTATATAGGAGAATTGACTTCAAGCTTTATTTTTCCCATATATCTGTAATACATTCATCTGATGTCTGGGTTTTTTGTTAATTCGAAGACAATATTTCCATATCTCTTTATGTGCCACACAAACAGACTTTATAGCAGACTGTTCCGACTGACTTTGATGTCAGAAAGAACAACCAAACTGTAAATTCATCATATATCAAATTATGTGTAATTTATATAATAAATTATCCATGCCTGTACAATAGGTACGTTCCTGCATGAACAGGAAGAAATATATTATTATTAAAACTAGACAGTTTACATCTTTAAAGCTCTAAAACGGGCCTTTCAGACACTTTGCTCATTCTCTTATACTTAAGAATTTTAACTCTTTTCTAAATGCTCATAGTCCAAACTAAGCGTCTAACTCCACTGTCCGCTTCATATCCCAATAAAAAACGCAAACCAAACAGAATAAGTAGGCCTGCAGGAAGTGAGAGCACTACATCTGATGATTTAACAACTAAATATGGGTCTACTGCGGCAGACACGTTAAGTCCGGACATTGAACTCCCATCACTTTCTTGCGTAGTAAACAACATCATCGATGGTATACATATTGATACTACACGTAATGATCTAGGCCTCGTAGACACCTGCAAAGCGTCTTGCGATTTGAATCACGCAGCAAACATTTTGACTCCTACCACTAATCCAGTTTTTTGTTCTACACCTAATTGTGAAGATAAAATCGAAGAACTATTTTCTATCATTAGGGGGCTTGGAGTTAAGATATTAAACTGGCACTGCCTAGTGAAACTGGCAGTAGTAGTACTTCACCTAGAAAGTTATCACAGACCGCAAACCTGATAAACTACGTTGCAAATGAAGTATATAAACGTGTAGTGCACGAGAAGAACATAATTGTGTATAATATACCGGATAATGCACAGATCAACGAGGTCAAAAGCACTCTTCTGAATGCATGCTCTATGAATAACGTCCCGTGCGCTGCCATCGACTAAGAAAGTCCCAGAAAAATAAATCTTGCTAACTCGTGTTGAAATCTGACTCGTCCTCTAATGCTGACATCTTTTACAGTAGGAAAACACTACTGAAAAATACGCGTTACCATACGAATGAGTTAGCTCGTGACAAAACGCCGATCCAAAGAATGACTTATATGAATGATTCTAAAACCATGAATCCCGGCTCCTCTACAACACCCCTGAGCACCCAAAATTCTGTTGAGGCAGAGCAGAGGGGTGTGAACCTTTCCATACAAAGCACATCGTATTCGGAAACGAACTTGCGTGAAAATATAAGGCCCAAAATGGTTCAGTGTATAACCGTAGACTAAGAAGGAAATCCACCGTAGGTCTAGATTCCTCTGATAACTATCCCTGTACCCCGGTGACAAACTGCAGTACATGACATCCGGTATTCACCAATCCAAGCGGTCTCAATTCCGGGAAGTTGAAGAATGGGGCTACCAGCTCGTCCACAAAGAAAATGCAGAATAAGTCACTACTGCCACACACTAATTCAGATGCTCACAGTTTGATAACACACCTCTCTCCAGAAACAAATATTCACAAGGCCGAAAGGGATAAAAACTGTAAAACAGAACCCGAACCTCGTAGCTACGTGTCAAAAAAAGTAAACCCTTTCACCGCTATAAACCAAAAGATTGGTATACAATATACTCGCGCCGGTACGTTCAAATCAGGTGACGCTTTTGCACGTGTTTTCGTTTAAAGTCATTTATTGGTAACCATTAACTGATCTTTAATAACGATGGTTCAAAATTCTAAAGTGTTCGTGTGAACACCAGTAATTTAGAAAATAACACCAGCTCATCTAATAACATATAACCACCACATATTATTAGGAGTTCACCCAGCATAAAGGAATTGAACATAACTCTGACCCCTGTAATACAGGTGGAAGATGTTCTCTCTGAAAAGGTGGAGCTCTCTTACTTAACATGCGTAATTAAAGAGATGCGGCTACAGATAGGTGAATTAAAAACGAAATTAAATTCACTAGAATGTATACCCGAAACCATCTCACATATGAAAAAGGAACCGCAGGATCCAACAATTTAAAGCTGTTTAATATGACCTCTAGAATGTTGCATACTGACTCAAAAAGTGCGAAGGATTTAAAAACGCCATCGACTTTCTATCCAGCGAAGTTGT